ATTATTATTTTTTATTATTATATATTATATATATTATCGTATTTCGTGTGTTTTGCTCAATGATATTATCCAGGTGTCTCACCAGAGGTTTACGCCCCCACAGACGCTTGCTGGCTGTAGATGGTATTTTATACTCAAGGTGCTTCAGTGAAACGAAAACATGTGTATCAACAGTGTATTAGAGCAATGGTGGACTCTGATTAATTCCACAGATTAACAATTTAAACAACCCTGCTGTAATTTGACATGTACAAAGTTGACTTCATTGAGTTTTCATCTATTTTCCTCTAAATAAGATCATAGTTTACAAAGTGACTTAGTGTGTATGAATTGGTCGTAACACTGAAAACTTAAAGTGAACTTCAGGAAAATGTCATCCGATGTTATGAGTCGAGCCTTTTTCTGCATGTTTACTGATAATTACTGAATGATTTCCCATTTGAAGCGTGCAGTAATATATTCAAAGTAAATACAAGAAATGTCAAACCTTAATAGTCAATATTAAAACGAATAAATCTATCGGGCGCCAGAACTGCTTGTTGCTGCTGGACTGTGAATCGCACAATACACTCGGATCCAGTAATGTAATACAACAAACTGCTGTTAAAGTCGATAATGACTTTTTTTATGGCAGCAAAATTAAAGGAATCATTCACAGGACCAAGGTCCAGATTTGATAAAGTATCAGGGACTTCCTGATTCACCTGTTAAATGACTACATCTACTGTACCTGTGAATATGTCACAGACAGATAGTGGTAGACCGCACTACAAACCGAAGTCTAACAGACATTAATACAACGGTGGTGACTTTTGTTTTTACGTTTGCTGAAAAATGCAGTCATGAGCTGTGGAGCAAATGAAATCTCCACTAAAGATTCAGTAATAAAGGAAAGGCCATTATCTGACCGAGCGGTTATTCACAGCAGTGAGAGCCCCATCAGTTACATATATGATACAGATTAACAGCACAGACACTATTGGAAAATCGCTAATGAGTTCCACAAAACACTGATGGAGTATAAATGACAGAAACCTGTTGGCTGTGGCCGGGTTTTACTGCGACGGAATGTGAATAAATAAATGTAATATATCTTTCAACCTGGAAATATAAAACTGAGACGACCCGCAGCCATCAGCCCTCCGTCTGATACCTACTGTAGAGCCGTCATAAAATGATACATATAACCATAATAATAATAATAAAAAAATCGCATTTTTGAGTATACTGTGTTTCACAGCCATCAATAAGAGATGAGACCTGGGGTGTATGAAAAAATGATTCAAATTCAAAACCTAAAACCTGGGTTTTGTTTTTGTTTTTTCTTTTTTATCCAAAGAGTCTAAAATTCAGAAAAAAAAGTTAACCGTGTGAACCGCTTTACAGGAGGTACTTGGTTTACAACGTTCTCAACCTACAACGTCATGTACCAGCATTCCGACATACAGCGTTAAAACTTTTCTTTTTTTTCAACCAGCAACTAGTTTTTAAACGTAGCGCACAAATACGCCGTCACATGGTCCTACACACGGAAAACAGATTTATTTACATTTGCCAGTTGTCGCCGGCTTTCTTCGTGTTTGAGTTCTTTTATAGTCAAAAAGGTTTAGGGTTAGGGTTAGAAACCCACTCCAGAGTTGCAGGCAGTCGTCTAATTGGCTCCTCGTTGGTAATTTTGGCTAACATTGCCTCATATCTGGGACAAATTTCGTCTCACTTTGGCTCTGTAAAAATTTGCGCCTGCCTTCAGAAACTGGCATGGAATGTACTGTGTAGTTTGCTGAGCAGCAAGTCAAGACGTGTACAACAACGTACGTCCCAAAAAAACGATCTAACATTTTTCTGTAGCTCAAATCTGTCTAATTGTTTATTGATTTCTAGAAGTCGTCGTTTGATTGCGTCGCCTTTATTGACAAATAGTGCATTGTAAATTGAATATACAGTAAGTTAAACAGCTACAAACCCATACACACACACACACACACATTGTACAAACATTTTACTGTACACCGAACGCCACACGCTCACATTATATTACACACACCCAAAGGTGTTGAGCATAATTACATCATTTACACTTTTATGATACATTAATGACACTGAGCAGCAACACTACTGCTGATTACTGCACGGCTTTTCTTTTCCTTTAGAGAAATGACACATTTTACACACAAAAAAAAGCTGTACATCATTGGAAGGCAAATAAATTAACATTATAAATAAAAATATCACTGGAAGTAAAACACAAGTTCACATGAAGGTCAAGTGGGTTTGTGAGGAAACGGTTTCCCCGACTGGTTTAACCTTTAAACAAACAGCGGGGAGAGGTTTTCTCTCCCCGTGTTGTGAAACTCCACAGTATATACATGAGATGCGAGCTCACAAATATTTGTGAAAAACGAGCGTCCAAAACCGAGGGATTTGCTCGACTTTTCTTGCCTTTAAAGTGTCAAAGACAACTGTAGAACCGCAGACGCAGACTGAAAGAGTTGCATCGTACAAAGAGGTTTGTGGGCATTAGAAGAAGAAAGAGGACGGCCCGGGTGGAGCTGGGCGGAAAGGAACATAAAAAAAAAAGAAAAAGAGGAATCTCTCCACACCCGGCCTCATTTTTATTCAAACATTAGAGACGAGCTCTGCTTCTCATGTCCCCACCCCCATGTGTCTTTTCTCTTATTCCGTTTCCTTCCAGTCTCTTCTCTTGCCCCCCTCCATTACCTATTCCCTTTCACTTTTTCTCTCCCGGCTTCATAACTCATCTTCTCTCATCTACAACCACCCCTACGGTATCTATTACACCAGAGCGAAGAGACAGCCGTGTGGTTTCGGCTTTACCAAAAAATGAAAGATGGAGGATGAAAAAAAAAATGCAATTAACTGACGAATCCACCCAAAAAGTACTCTGAGGAGGTGCTGGTGATGCACCTTGAACTTCTGGGCCTTTGTCTTCCATTCTGTGGTAATTGACCAAACCTAAAGTGACATCATACTTATTGGTTGGCATCACACTTTCAGAGGAGTCGCAAAAAGTCAGGAATATCAGGTTTTGTTGTTTTGTTCTAACACTAAAACAAACACTGTCACAGAGAAAAATGGTGTAAAAAAAACAACACATCAATAAATAAATCCAACATAACGACATCAACCAGTGATGAACCTAAAAGGTATTGGGGATTAAGATAAAATACCCTGTAAAGTTTAGAAATACTTTTAGGACAATCTACTTGTCTTGTCCAACACCTGCCATGGTAACGCATATGCACCTTGTCCTCATGGTCTATACCATGGATTACCCTTTAGGTGAGAGTAATTTACACATCTGACATTCTCCTCTGGTAGAGACGACCTGAAACCTTCTGGTTATGAGAACAGACTCGAGAAGTTCAACAAATATGACCTTCTGGTTATTGTGACCAAACACTTTAGAAGACACTTAAATGTCCTGGTTATGAGACCACAGACTCAAGAAGACATAAAAATTAAACCCTTCTGGTTATTTGGATCACAAACCAAAGAAGACCTAAACCCTTCTGGTTATTCAGACCAAATACCTGAAACCTTCGGGCAAATTTGATCACAGTATAAATCAAGTGCAGTCGTTTAATTTTCCATGTGGAGTTAATTCCAATTAACTCCAAAAGCAGTGGTGCATTTATGGTCTTTTGCTATAGTTAAGTGGTGGCTGACAACAGCGACTTGCATTTCTTAGACTGTATACATCCTTTATGATAAACTTGTGGAATCATTAAGGATCTCAAATATTCAATTGTCCTGCAGATGTTATTCACTATATACTGGGTATACTACTGTATTTTGTGTCAATGACTGTCCAGTGGTCATATCTGATATAACATATCATAAGGTGGAGCCATAGGTTTTATGACACTTTCCAGAACCACCATTTTATACCATTCGCGCGTTAGCTCTTGCTAGTGGCACAGCGTAACAAGAGTGTGGTTGTATCTGAGTGTACGCAACGAGTAAAGAGATTATTTTGATAAAATCTTGTTTCAGTGCACGATAAAATGCTCATTGCTCATGCATCAATTTGGACAAAACACCCCTGAGGTATTCACTCTGCGGTAAACATTTGTGCTCAAACCCTGACCGGTCAGTCACTGTGTCACACTGCACACCTGTACAGACACAATGTACATCACTGTGTACACAAAATTCACTTCTTTCCTCGTCAAAGAGATGAAAAGGCAATAATCAAATACGAAGCAAAGAAAGGACGCGTCCCATTCAGCCGCACGCGTTACATAACGCTCCCAGACACCTGCCTGTGTTGATAGTTTTCATTTCCCGTGCATGACATTTTTAAGGTGGCATTTTAATATGAGCTTTTAGGCACACGAGTCTTCTCCGTCTTTATTAATCCCCCCAGCCAGAGCTGAGACTGTTCTTCCACAGGCATCTATTTACAACAAATTACCCCTCTGCACCCCTGACTCGCTCCCAGTTGATCTCCATACCTTTTGATAAAATGTCCAATAAGCTTTGTTGCTGGGCAACAAATAAAATTCTCAGGCATCGCCACAAGAGCAAAGTTTTCATAGAAAACATTTGCGGGTTTAAAGAAGCGACGAGACTCTCTGTGTCGTGATCTACATGAAACGAGATGAGACCAGTGGCACCAGACAAACCGTGGTCATGTCAGACACTTTCTGATAAAAGGACTGAAGGTCCAGTGTGATGTAAGCTGCAGCCTGCATGAACACGACCAAAGGTCTGGGCTTTAAATCAAAGAGACTCAGAACTTCGACTCCTTCTACTTATTCAGTAAATGTAAACAAGCAAAGAACTAAGTATTAGCAGTAATTAAATACCAATTGTAACACAGTCTTTCTAGTATATCTAGTATTGTTGTTGTTGTTGTTTCAATGTAGTCACAACTGACTAACTCAGTGTGAAACCTGCGCCTGTTTAGTTGAACACCTCGCTGATATACCGGCAGGACATAGTGTTGTAACGACAAGCAAAGAACAAGTATGGCAGGACATAGAGTTGTAACGACAAGCAAAGAACAAGTATTAGCAGTAATTAAATACCAATTTTGAGACCAATTAAGTGATTTTTTTTTTTTTTGCAGTCTTACCAAACAAGGCAATTATTTTCACCTCTAGTAGGTCAATACAAGTGACCAGTCTTTTCCTCTTTTTTGTTTAGGGTGCTATACCGCCTCTGGGCAGTAGTACGTCTCCAAAAAAGGGAAATATTAGTTTAATTCCTTGCTACATAAAATCAGAATCAATATAATAATATTAAGAGATCGTTACCAGCAAACAAAAATGTCGTGGAGTGGTGAGAGGACCGCTCTGGTAATCAGAGGACCAGGGTAAAATCCCACCACCAGTTGAGCAAGCACCAATTCCCTTGTGATTAGTCCTTCAGTATAATGAATTAATCTATAAAATGTAGCAATTCATAGATTATTTATAAGAATTCCACATAAATAACTCTCCCTCTCTAACACCACTGGCGCCCTTTTCTTTTCCCCTCGTCTTTTTCCGACAGCTCTGACAAATCAACCTTTGTTGTTTGCAAATGTGCGTTGTGCGAAGCGCCGCAGTGAAAAGGTTGCCGTCCACACACGAAAACACGTATAGGTCACATCGCGTCGTTTTTATCTGTGCAATGACACGACAGCATTAATCAGCAACGTCAGCTGGGAAATGTGACTGTCAGAGCTCAGACTCAGACGACAATGACGTGGCCTCCAGACGGCATATTACAAACAACAGAAAAGGAGCCCAAAAGCAAAAAAATGGTGCCGGTTGATGATTTCCATCTGGACGGCAGCCACGTAGTACTGACAGAAATGAAATTCCCTTTTATGCACGCACAGACCACAAACACTGGCGTTCTGTAGTTTGTTCGTGTGTTGTATAAATGTTTAGCTGGCACTCAGCAGTGAGGTTCACAGCCAAATAAACAAGAACTCTGGACGACAGTACCTTCTAACTTTCCTAGCTTTGGTGCTTGTATGTACTTTGAGATGTTCCTCCTGTTCCTCTCTTTGCAGTTGCATACATTTTCACATCTAAAACATTTCTTACGCTGTAATTTCCGACTTCTATACCAGAGTCGACACAGACATTAAGACATTTCCCTGTTGAACACACTCTCCTTGTTCCACGCGTGGAAGAGTTCAGCCATTCAAGGCCGGAGAGAAAGCAGGACAGGAACCCAAGGGGCTTTCGAGTCATTCTGTGATGAGTCACAGAGTGGACAATTCTCGTATAGACACCCGAGACTGTTAATTGTCCAAAGCTGTTGGCAAAAAGTGAAAGCGAGACGACTCATGGGATACAAATCTCCCATTTCACGATGTATGTACAAGCTCTTCAATGTGAAGATATGTTTAGCAAAATGTGCCACTTGACTGATGGCTCAGGTCTCTATATTACAAAGGTAGTAATTTCTGTTGATAAATTATCCAAATAGTTGTCCAAAAACACCACTTCAGAGTTTGTTCTTCAGGCTTTGGATCCATTTGTTTCAGAAATGTCTGCGTTTGAGTTCATCTTAAATTGTCAAAGTCACTACAAACTCTGGTTCTATGCAGATGATGCACTGAATAGATAGTGAGAATAAGTCACGGTGTAAAGATACAAATCCATGTCTCCATCGTGAGACAGCAAAGAAGTCGAAGCAAAGGGAAGTCGAAAAGAATCTGTTCAGTTTTAGAAGAAAACCCTGGGCCGTACAGGAACAAACAACACATGGAATTGTAAAAAAACAAACAAAAACAAAATCCCCGTCCAGCTGACTAGGTAAAAAGAGTAGAAGCCATCGTCCTCCAGACTTTACATCGGTCAAATATATTACACTGTGTAGTGACCACTGTATGAAGTTACACAGATTCAGTGGGAGACTGGTCGTCACTGTGGAGTCTCATCGACTCAACGCTGGTCAGGATTTTCTTCTGGTGTCCGGCGAGAGACACACCGATCCTCTGGAGATCTCTGAAAAAAAAAAAAAAAAAAAGAAAAATAAATCAAGTGAGGAATATTTCTTGTGGTAAATTTTAACCCTGTTATACTTAAATATAGGTAAATCTTCCTTCCAGTTTTATACGCTGCTAATTTATCAGTGTGTTTCTCTTTATGAGACAAACACCAACCATAACTAACCATGTGCCACATGCACTGAGGCCAGATCATTAATTTCTTTTCACTAATGTAGCAGCATCTGGGACGACTCCCTTTAAAATCATAGCACATCACGCAGCGGGTTAATACGGCGCGCCGGAACATAAAGCGCTGTACATCACTCTAAACGCAGGCACACGTGAGTATAACCTCCCACGGGAACGTCTGTGGACGTCCATTAATGAACATGATTTAACACACGTGTCATCGTGAATTTGTGGTGCGAAGGAAAGTACACGATAATCTGAGCTCCGGTTAAAGGTTTGCACGTCATTTTCTACGACGTAGCGCAGGCACACAGTAGAAACGTACGTGCACGCGACTCTCTCCTCCAGACTGCACTCCCAGTGGGATCAGTTTTGGCTTCTGAGTGTGTGACCCATTCTGACAGGTAAAGAGCAGTAGTCTGTTACTCTGGAAGCAATTTCATGTCTCGTACCGCTGCCTTTAACAAAAGTAATGGCGGGAGTTTGCCTGCGGACCGTTCATCGATTGTAGAAATAAGGAGGTCAGGGCTAACGGCTCATTTGTGTCCAGCAGTTCTGCAGTGAGCTCTGACTCTGAAACCTTATTTCCCCTTATTTGGATTGATTTCATTCAAAAATAGCTGTTGATTAAACGTGAACCTACACTGCATTCATTACCGAGTAAACAAAACGGAATCTTCCAGATTTGGTGACAGATGGTGCTGAACTCATTTCAAACATGAATGATTTCAGAAGCCAAATTAGCAACACCAGGTACTGGGGGGAGAGGTGTGTGGAGAAAGGGGGGGGTGAGGGTATATTTTTAAGTTCTACGACAGTGGCAAGAAAAAATAACATTTTTAATTTTAACACTTCAACACAAACAGTAGTTCAGTATTTATTTAAAATAAAGCAGTAAAAAAAATTACCAGCACACTCAACTCATTGGCTATGGTACTGAAGAGGTATTTATAGCGCCCCCTGCAGGAAAGGATGGGAGACACAATCTTTGTGGAGATATTTGTATTCAACACTTGGATCTCAACTGGCTAAAAAACATGGAATCGCAGTCACTTTTAATGTGTTAATAGCATATTAACCCATCTGTATCAGCGGTGGTTTGAATGTTCGTATCCAATTACTGCCTCGTGTTTGTAGACTACTGCCAAAAGGAGTGTTAATAGCAGAACATTAAAATGTCAAAGTGAAGGTACAAATTAGGTGAAATGTCACATTTTTATCTCATTTAATATTTTCTGTGTCACAAAATTAACCAGTTCTTCCCTGGGTTGAGGCCAAAAACAGCATTTGTGAAATCAAACTGACTTTCACCTCTGACAAATAAAGCTTGTGAGCAAACGCTTAAAATGTTTTTTAAAAAATGGAATAATTTCCCAAGGTGAAAGCAAGACATGATGTTTCCAGAACCAGACAGAGGAACTGTGTGAAAACATGACGCCATCTGCCACGAGTAACTGTCAACACAGCCGTGGCATAAAGAAAACCCGAAGTGAGTAAACCCAAGGAAACGGCTCAGAGAGACAGAGTCAGGCAGCGACACGGGCCGTCAGTGAGCCAACCTGCTACTCTGCCACTCATCCAACTAACAAGACATCAACTTGGCAGGTGAGTGATGAGTGTGAGACGCAGTCGGAGCATCAGAGAACTGGAAACAAAGACAGGTTTTAATGAGCGGACTTACTCGGCTGTGATTTGTGTGACGAGCGGCAGGGAGGTGAACCCGGAGCCGATGAAGGATTCTCGATACTGGGTCATCTTCAGAGCGGCCAGCCAGTCTTCCACCGAGCTGAGCCTGCTCAGGTCTGGAGCCCCACGGTCTAACAAGGGGTGAGGGGACAGACTGGACAGGAGGGGATTCAAACGTGTTGATTTAGTCATTACTGTGCATCTAAACAGTGGCTTCTAGAACATCCTCTACTAAATGAGTCGGTCTGCAGTCCATAACTGTTTGGTAACTGTGTCAGTCTGCATCTCAGTTGTACATGAGTAAAATATCCCTGGTACTTGATGGTATTTTAAGCCTAAGGTGCTTGGGTGAAACAAAAATAATTTGCTGCAGTGTGGTGAAACATGAGTTTCCACTCCATGTGGACGGATGGTGGAACTACCGGAGTGTGCGTCATTTCACGTAGGCTTTTAAATGTGCTAAAACTTAGTTAATGTGCTGAAACATTCATTCACCGACAGAGAAAAAGGAAACCACAAAGCGTGAGTTTGAATCCGTCCTCACCCTGGAGACATGTTGCTGGTGCCGGTTTTCAGCGACGCAGGGTTGCGTATCATTTTGTCCAGCATGCTAACGATGTCTGGGAACTTTGGCCGAGCGTTTCTGTCCTTCTGCCAGCAGTCCAGCATCAGCTGGTGCAGCACCATTGGACAGTCCATGGGAGCTGGCAGCCTGAAGTCCTGCTCTATGGCATTTATCACCTGCGACAGTAAAAAAAGAGGGGGAAGGGGAGGGGAGGGGGGGGGTTTGGTTAAATATCATCTGGAAGCCACGTCTTTTTGCTGTGTTCCCCAATTAAAATGGCTTGTTAAACTGCTTTTATACCAGAATGGATTTAAGTGCTTGGACATGTGGAAGTGGAATTTAATTTTACTGAGACACGAAACGCTGAAGCTGGGCAGAATTAGCATTAGATGGTTTTTTAAGTTTACAATCACAACATTATGTAACTACAGTGTATGTTTGTAATAAGCTGTTATTAAGAATGCTTCAATCCATTTTTGCCAAGGACAGTAAAGGCATCCCTGTCTTTATGTCTCCAACTGCTGCATTTCTGGTGAGTTTATGAAGAAGACAATGTCTTTACTATAGTAAAAATAACACAGTCTGCTCAGTAACAAGTACTTTGTTGTGTTGACGGAGTATTTTTAGGTGAGAGTCCCCATTTGCATCTTGTCATGGGCATGCAGCACCTTAGCAAACCCAGATATGTGTTTCAGCAGTGATGCCTGAAGCAGAGTTTTGTTGTTGGAAGCAGGCGGTTGTGCCAGAAAGCGATTGTGAAATGCCAGAGCAGGTTTTGAGGACGTTACAGATCTTCTGAGGTTTTCTTTTTTTTCTTTATAAAACTGCAGCGTTTCACTGAGGTGGAGCTAAATAGGGCAGCAAAGTTACCCTCAAAATTTAGTTTTGCGTAAACATTGAATCTGGAACGACCAAGGTTTAATATTATAAAAACATGAGAAATTAGATTTGAACTAAAACCCACATCAGTGATATTGGTTTTTGTAAACGTCTCTATCTGTAGCCTTTTGAGTTCATTTTTAATGTAAATCTTTTTCACATGCGAACAACAACAGAACAACCAGAAAAATATGTGCGTACATCGCTAACACTACAAATCCCATCAGTAAATAGTGGCGATATAATGGCGGGCCAACTCTTAAACACATTTGATTTGATCTCACGGCCCAAATATAATCACACCTGTGGGCCAGATTCGGCCCGCAGGCCTGAGATTTTTCTACCAATCAGAAATGTGTCATAAATCTTTTTCCGAGGAAAGTTCTAACATTGTAATGGGATGTTTTTCCATTGGCTTTAACGTTCCAACCTTCTGTCTTTACTTCCTCAGGCTCAGCGTTTGATTCCAGAGATTTTTCTTTTAGCGTCTTAACGTGACTTTTTCCACTCAATTCAATCACTGACCTGGAACTCATTTTTTCCTCTTCTCTCTCTCTGAATGGGCTTTAATGTAAGAACTACTGATTTCATTCACATTCCCAAGATGGATTGTGCCTTAAGAAAAGTGGAACGACAGGTTCTTACAATAAAAACACACTCCTTACAAAGTTGAACTTTTTTCTGTATCTTGCTGGTGAACATGTGAGCCTGATTCCTGCGTTTTCTACAACAGTAAAGACGTCGCTGGGGAGTCGTCTGCTCGCCGAGTGAACTCTACTTGACCCCGACACACTTTCCAAGGCTTTGAGCCTCGTAATTTCTCTCTCCAAGCGCAGCTGTCAATCAAAGCAGCAGTGTGTGGAGTGAAACATCACAGGTCTCTTTCATGATTAATTCATGTCAAACACGGCACCTGTGGCAGCTGCGCTGACAATTTCACGTCCCGTGTTCTTTGATATTGTGTGTGTGTGTGTGTGTGTGTGTGTGTGTGAGGGTGGTGCCTTTAACCCATTTTCTTGCACGTGTGTTTTTTTTACATGTGTGTAGCATGTGCCCACATTCAGGCTGTGACTTTTATACATAGTTAATGGCCGGGCAGCTCCTCGTTAGCTGCAGCGGGAACACGTATTTCCGCCATCATTATACGTCGGTCTGTGCCATTATAAAACTGTCTCCGTCATTAGCCTGATTCCTTGTCTTCACTCCTGCGTTTGTTGCGACCGTGAGGAAACGAACGACTCAGGCGGCCGTGGAAAGAAGAAGGAGCAGCAGGAGGGAGGCAGAAACGTCAGGGTAGGTGTGAAAAATGAGGAGAGCGCCGGTTGTGATGATCAGTGTTCAAGAAGGAGAGAGGATCCTTTGAAGATGAGGGAAAAGAATGATCCTGATTTGGGTGTTAGTTAATAGGAGTTTTAACCGTTAACTTGGGTGGAATAACTGACCGGACTGACGGGCGGTCATGTTTGGTCGAAGGTTGGTCAACGTTACTGACTCAGACGTCAGTCTGAGAGAAGGAAGACCAACTTGTGACGATGCATGCAACATGGAATTTAATTAGAACTAATACTTGGAGCTCTTCTGTGGAGCTCTGGCAAAGTCATTATTTTTAAATTCTTCTGGGGAAAAAATTCCGTCTCCAGAAAAGTTTGAGCACTTGCCGATAGGCAAAAAAAAACAAAAAACTTCCAACTTAACTGTTTTTTTTAAAAAATAAAAAAAAACTTCCAACTTAACTGTTTTTTTTTTGTTCAAATTTAACAAAATATACCTGCAACACATATTTAAAAAGGTTGGAACAAAGACAAGGAACGATTGGAACACATTCATTTTTCATCTATAGTTACTGAACAGGAGTTCTCCCACATTTGTTTGTCGTCTTTGTCTGATTTATCTCCTTCTGATGAACCACCTGTTTTTAAAAGAAGCTTCTCAGGGCAGACTTTTGTAGAAGCTCCTAACTCAAGCTTTAGTTTAAGAAATAACATTATTTTTATATGAAGGAAATGTTGTCTTAAACGTTAAAAGGTTCAACTGAAAAAAACAACCAGAGATTGAAGCTTTATTTTTAGAAATGTTAGTTCAAAGATTCATCCAGGTCACAGTTCTTCAAATGATGTTCAGTGAGTAGCAAATGGACTCGGATTAAACTGACCTCAAACTGAAAGCTTTTGAAATTCCCAGTGCAACTCTGTGTCAGAGCCATTAGTTCTGCGGAGAAAGAGTTCAAATTTTTAACCTCGATACTAACCTCGGTGCTAACCTCGATACTAACCTCGGTGCTAACCTTGATGCTAACCTCGGTGCTAACCTCGATGCTAACTGAAGTCTCTTCAGTCTGTATCTGTGATGATGTCTAAACTGCAAGGAGGCCGACAGCCTAAAGCATTGGTTCCCAAAATAGGGTGCGGACCCCTGCAGGTAACACCGATTTGTGATTGTAGTTTTGTTTGTTTGATGACAACGGTCATTTCGTAGAAATTATACTATTGTAATAAAGTAATAAATATTTGAATCTATTGCTGTGAATGTGTTAACACACAAGTGAGGGTTGACAATCATAAAATTACAAATGAATCACACTGTGAACATAATTAAATGTCTGGGAGCAGATAAATGCTGAAACAAACAAACAAACTCTAAACACATTTAGGTCTGACGTTTCCTGAAGGCAACATTTTCTGTCACACTTTTTAACTATGTCCTCTTTTCATGTGTTTTCCTTGACAAGCAGACGTCCTGCTGTGAGAGGAAACAAACAAACACACCCACACTCCCCCACAGTCCACCCCCACCTACTCATACACACACACACCGCTCATCTTCCTCTCTCACACACACACACACAGACTTATCTGACTTACATCTTGGTTGCTCATGTCCCAGTAAGGCCTCTCTCCGTATGACATCACCTCCCAGGTGACGATGCCATAACTCCAAACATCTGAAGCTGAGGTGAACTTTCTGTAGGCGATGGCCTCAGGAGCCGTCCAACGCACTGGGATTTTACCGCCCTGAGAGGAAGACAGCAGAAGAGTTAAGAGGCCAGAAGACAAAAAAATAAAAATAAAAAAATACCTAAAACATTTTTACATAAAATGTTCGTTACATTTCAGTTTTAATCACAGGCAAACAGACCTTAATGTTATCACCAATGTAAACACACGCAGATGTGTCATTTGTCAAACATGATATTGTGAATAAAAAATAACTTAATAATTTGGTTTCATTATAAAAATAGATATTAAGCTCTCGGGAGTTTCCTTTGTGAAATTTAGGATTTTTTGAATGATCTTATAAGAATCCCAGGTAAAGCAGGTGACCCTGAGGTTGTGGTATAAATTTACATCTGGACACAGAGCTGACCATGAACCGTTCATGCTCACATTTAATTCAACCAGTCGCCTCAGAGTCTCTCATTAACTGAACCTCCGTGTCACTGAACTGAGAGAGTTCACAGGTGAACATGAAGTGGTGACAGCAACATGACGTGTTATGGTTGAACCTACGTGTCCTCCCTGTCTCTCTGTCTGTCTGTCCCTGTCTCTGAGGGGGGACATGCTGTTGTGAGGCTCAAACATCTGCAGGCTCATTATTTTTTCATTGATCGTTCTAATGAGTCATCAACATCAACGGCGCAGTTTTACATGGCTGCTGGTCTGACAGTGGGCTTTAAATGTTTATGGACGTGAATGAAAGCAGCATCTGCAGACTTCCGCCACTAAAAGATGACCATGGCGACAGGACGGCAGGCGGCCGCCGTTGGGCTACAGCAGAAACTCCTTACCAGGGAGCTGGTGTAGGTGGGGTCGGACGTGTCCTCCTCCAGATATCGGGACAAACCGAAGTCGGACACTTTGCACACCAGGTTACTGTTGACCAGAATGTTCCGAGCTGCCAGGTCCCGGTGAACGTAGTTCATCTCTGCCAAGTACCTGTCATCATTGTGTCAGAGTAGGTTATCAGCTGAGTTACTGCTACATGAACAAGGGCTGTGTGTGTGTGTGTGTGTGTGTGTGTTCTTGTATATTTGTGGGGACAGGTTTTCAGAGAAACTTAAAGTATATATTTTAATGTTTGCGTTAGCTGCTTAGGAATGAATTTCAAAATAATAAACGTGGTCTGTGTGTATGTTCACCTCATTCCAGAGACGATGCCCCTCAGCATTCCCACCAGCTGAATCACTGGGAACTGACCGTCATTTTGCTAGAAAATAAAAACAAGAAAAGATCAAAGTTATTTTACAGATATTTTCACTTCATCAATAAAAAAATACATAAATAAAATACAATATTTCCATGTTTCTGTCTGCAGGTTTGGTGTGTGCAGGAGAGAAAGTCACGTCAACAACATTCTTTCATTAGTAAACTACAAAGTCCATTCATTACTGTTGGTCAGGTGTCAAACCACAGTACTGTCATGTTCAAAAAATGCCCTTTTCACTCAAAACTACAATAAAAACAAAGACTAAAATAAAATGTTTTATTTTTACATAATTTTAAATAAAAAAAAAAGAAAATTCCAGTAAAGAATAATAAAAAAAATATTTCAGGTAGGTTAAAGAAAAAAAAATTAAATATAAAAAAACAAAGATCAAGGTCAATCAATCAAATCCACAGTAAAGGACAACGGTCTCTTTGCCATTTCAGGTCCACGGCGCTGTCTCAACATTTGGCTCCTTTTACTGCACTGACATCCACCGACACTGTAGGTGTGTGTGAGGTTTGTGTAATTATCTCTGTGTGTGTGTGTGTGTGTGTGTGTCGTCTAATTCACTGAGAGCATCAAACTGTGCCTTTGATGCTCATCCAGCCAATGTCCCGGCAGGAAAAGCTCCTCGTGCACATGTTACGTCCCAGCATTGATCCACTGGGTCTTTGTGCCTGCGAGATGGTCACGCCAGGACAGCACCGCACCGCGCTGCACCGCCGCGGGGATCGATCATTGTGTTTGTGCGTATGCACCACGTCAATGAGTCAGCGGATCATTTCTGAGAGTCAAAAGGGGTCACACTGTGAGAGGAGAACATGAAAGAGTTTCTCTTTCTGTTTTTGGAGGCGCCTCAAAAGGAGGAAAGGATCAAAGACCCGCGGAGACTGAGGGACGGAAGACGGACTGAGAGACGTACAGGAAGTGAACTAAAGAGAGGACGAGCTGGAGGACAGGAAGGTCAGGAATGTGTTTCTGCTTCACTGTCTCTTACTGCAGAATAGGACAAGGACTTCTTAATGTCAATCTGAATAAATGTCTTCAAATTAGACTTTCACCTGTCCATACCTGTCCGTCCACACCAGGGACATACAGTTTAAATGTTAATTAAATTAAATTTGAATCTTTTACCCTGAGGAACGAGTCGAGAGCTCCGTTCTCCATGAACTCCGTGATGATCATGGTGGGTCGGCTCTTGGTGACCACTCCCTCCAGCCTGATGATGTTGGGTTGATCAAACTGACCCATGATGGACGCCTCAGACAGGAAATCCCTCCGTTGCCTCTCGGAGTAGCCCACCTTCAGGGTCTTGATGGCGACGGGGATTTCTTTCTTCCCGACGGGCTTCAGACGACCTTTGTACACCTCTCCAAACTCACCTAAGGGAGGAGAAAACACATGACTGAGACTTTCCAGACAGCGCCGTGAGCAACGTCACGCATCGGTTTCTGCTCTTCAGAAATCAGACTCTGCTGACTCAGCAGGTGACGCAGCAGGTCGTCAGGAAACTGGAATTAATGATTGCATCGAAATAAAACACCTGATTGTGTAGAACGTCGTGGCTAAATTAAACTGCAGCAGCTGGTGCTTCCAAATAAAGAATATAGGCTACGACGACGTTAACAACGGTGGCCAAAAGGTCCAAATAAAACATTGTTTCCCAAAGTCTGGGCCGCGACCCTCAGGTTGGTCGCAAGAGTTTGTTTTTTTTGCGTCGTCTCGCATCATGTTTCCCAGCAGTTTACAAATAATGTCTATTGACTTGGGTCGTGAAGGTTTGTGACTTTTAAAACATGGGACCCCAGAAAAAATGTTTGAAACACTGAAATAAAAGATGTAGACGGCGGTCCACAGATTCCACTAGTGGTGTGTTTTGGTAATTTGCAAGAATCTAGCGATGCGATACATGTCACGATACTGGGGCAACAATATGATTTATTGTAATATACTTACGATACTATAGGTACAAGCATATGTTGATGTTTTTTAAAAACAATTTAACTAAGGGTTAACTAAAAATGCTGGAACAGAGGCATCTACATTTAGAATCGCTAGAAACAGAAACATAATAGGATTTTCAGGATTTTTTTGGACAATGAACAAAATAAAAACGTTTGACTTTGAGTCGCAAATACTTACTGAGAAATCATTGAATGTTCAATGCCTTATTATCAACATCAGTCAGACTTTAACAGTATTAGGAACTATCAGACTATCAGCGGTATCTAATTCTCAGAATAAGCCTGGCTAAAACAACACTGTCAGGATGTCAGTGTGATATTTTTGAATTGTGAAGTAAACTGCAACTTTTCTTGAGGAAAACCTTGAGATGTGACTTTTGTGAAATACACGAGAGGCGCGTTCACCTCGGCTGAACATCACCCCCGGAGGACGTGCTGTATGTGAGGATGTAGATGTCCCACAGAAATAGCTGCAGACATTTTCTGTGACTTGTCCTCCCACCTCCATCATCACATTTTATCTCGTATTATTCCCAAAAAAGGACAATCCTCAACAACCCAGAGGTGACGGTGTTGTCACCTGCACTTCCTCTCGTCCACATTTCCTGGCCATTTTTATAATGTTTTGAACAAATCTACACGTTTCCAGTTATAGAGATGGCTGTTAGTATTTTCTTCTTCTTCGATAAAGGGGTCAAAGATTGTCACTCTGAGTACGTGTTATTTCTGCCCATGTATCTGCAGTCGCTCTGAGTGGCAGACAGAACTACTTAGAAACACAGTGGCATTCAATGTGACAGGCGCTCGATGGAACAAGTGGAGAAGAGTGGGAAGAATATTCAGACAAGACGAACTGAACTGCAGTGGGAAACTGAACTTATGAACTCTGTGCTTCACTAAACTGTCTGTTTACACAGAGTTTACCTGACTGACAGTGGAAGTTAAAAAGGTAACATTTTGGATAATAAAGACGTGTTCCTTTTTAACTTCCTCTACTGCGCCTCCTGCAGACGGGGGAATTTACTTTTTACTCAACAAATAAGACCATTGACTTGCCCTGCGGCAAAAAAAAATCTCTAACTGTGTCGGGATCACCAGACCTGCTCAAAGGTTGTCAGTACAAAGCTGAAGTGCAAAGAGCAGAGCAGTTGGGTCTTATCCTTGTCCTTATTTGGTTAATGTGCTCTGCTGCCCACATCTGCTGCAGTTAGGAGACATCGAAAAAACCCTTTATTTAGGAAACGGTTGTTGCTCTGGGCTAACAGCAAGGCAGATTAGCAGTTCGAGCTAACTGATGCTAACTGACGGTCTCCCTTTATGTATGTGGGGTTTTCCCCTGTACTCAGGCTTCATTCAACAATTCATATATATACCCAATCCAGGTGTGAATGGTTGTTTGTCTCTGTATCCAGAACATGTGAATGAAAATATATACAGTATACCCAATCCAGGTGTGAATGGTGGTGTGAATGGTGGTGTGAATGGTTGTTTGTCTCTGTATCTGTACCCTGTGTTAAACTAGGATGAACTAAGGCTGATCTAAGAACTAAGTAAATACGAAATAATACATTGATTAATCCACTGAAAAAGTTTTTAAAGTTTTTAAAGTTTTAGTTTAATAAGTGAATAGCCATAAGGGGGCGCTGATGAGTAAGGAGTCACTTGATTGGAAAAGGGTGGAATCTTGAAGAGGTTCTGAGCAGATTGGAGAGAAGAAGAGGTGAAACTTGTTGCTGTGTTTGTGTCCACGTTTAACCTACAGTTGTGCTTTATCATCCACTTTCCTCTAAATGGGATTCTAATTTACGACGGATATTCTATTTTCTATTGAGGAAAACAGACCTGTTTCATATTCTTAAATAATGTTGGCGTTCTGGTCTAATATAAACATTAATTTATTTTAAGGTGGAGCTGGAGTCCGTACAAAAGTAATACAGTAATAAACCATTTACACATGAATGGTTCATTTAGAGTGAACAGGTGACTCGGTTCTGCATGTTTTTGAACTGTGGGAGGATAAGGTTATTGGGGTCAAGTCTTGTTGGTCATGTTTTTTTTTCCACTGCGTATTGAACTCCTTTGATGTTCAGTACAGTAAACCCCTCGTGCAGAGATACAGGTGTCCTTTGATAGGCAAAAATGCAGCTGCACGCCGCTTGAAAGGACCTGAAAATTAAGTATCACTTCAAAATAAAAGTCCTCATCCCAGAGATAACAATCTACGGGTGAATAATGGATGAGTGACGGGAATTGGATGACAGGCAGTGCCGTCCTGTCCCACTGTGATCTCTGCTTCAGATCTCACTGCTCATTAATATATGTCTTCTGTCAATGGCATTAACCAGGAGGAAGGGCTGAGAAATGGAGACGAGACAGGAAGGGATGTGAAAGAGGTGGAGGAGTGACGGAGCAAAAATGGAATGAGGGAAAAAAACAGTTATTTGGAATGTGAATAGATTGAGATATGAAAGAAAAAATATATTTTTATGTGGATCAGATAAGACTTAAGGTTTCACTGGCAGTTTTCTTGGTCTGAATTGACTGAACTTTCTCAGAGTTGGAGTCATAGCCATGAGAAAATTGGAGCTCAGAAGTTGTTTTGTTGCAGAAGAAAATATACAGAAGATACTTTCAGTATCCCGCTGAATACTTCTTTATACCTGTCATTGAAAATCTGATCTGAGTCTTTGTTTAACTCCTCTTTCTATTTCTCTTCACAAAAACACAAAACTTTGATAAAGAAAGTATGAGTGAAAAGACAAACTCAGAAGAGTCAGATAAAAATAAAGAGCCAAAAAACGCTTAAAGCGTTATTCGCTCACAGTCCAGATACTTCTATCACCCTCCATCATATTTTCTCCCCCTCTCCATCACTCCTGTCTCCCCTCTGTCTGAGGTGAGAGACCCTTCTCTGGGGAAAATAAAGCCAAGAATGAAGAGATTATGGAAAGCCTATCTGAGTGCCACAACAAACCGAAGCCTAAAGCAAGCTGTTTTCAGAGTGAGAGGGGAAGAGGGGGAGAGGGAGAGAGGGGGAGAGAAAGAGGGGGGGGGTGTCTGGGATCTCTGAGTGACCTTTGTCACCCAGACCTCTACAGTCACTCCAATTTGATTGGCTTGGGTTCAGCAAAACAAGTGATTGGACACCTTGGTTCAACTGAAAACATTCCTCAACTGAAATGGTTTTTGCTTTGATTGAAATATAAGAGGTGATCAATATATGTGTAAATACTGTTTGTTTTTCAAACCTGGGTCTGTTATTTGGTATTGAACTTAAATGTTTGAATTGAAGCAAACTAGTTTGATAAGACATAAAAAGTAATGTAAAGAAATGTGTAAAAAATGATTCTATATACAGATTAAAACTTTTAGAAAAATGAAGAATAGCATAAAATAGTATAATGTAATAGGTTTTGTTTTGTGATGTGGTTAAAAAACAATATAAAACAATGTACAGTAGTATGATGCAGTGCATTGTACTAGTATAAAATAGTCTGGTCTAGTACTGTACAGTAAATTATTATATAATAATAATTAAAATATGAATTAATTATTAATTAAATAAATTAAATACATTATTAAAATAATATTAACCATGAGAGGGCGCTGTATTCAAACCACGTACAGACTCTGTATTTAAACTGTGTTACCTGAGCCAATCACTTCTTCTATTTTCACACAGGACGGGTCGATTTCCTTGGCGAACTCCCTGACGGCCTCATTGGGGTCCTCGTAGGTGAAGGGGTCGATGTAGATCTTGACCCCAGGTGAACTGTGAGCCTCAGACAGAGAGGGGAAGGTCACCGTGGGGGCAGGGCCCGTGAACATGTCAGGCCTCAGAGTCACCTCTGAAGAGAGAGAGAGTCAAAAATGATTGGGAGAGATTATTAAAAAGTTCCATGACCCTGGACTGAACTAATGAACACCACTGACTGACAGACCTCCTCCGGTGTTGTACTGGGGCAACTTGTCTCCGTACAAACTCTCCTTCAACTGGCTCCTCCTGAAATACAAAGCAGGAAGATGAAGAGGTTTGAGGCTTTTTTTGAGTCAAAAAAAGTTTTAAAATGCTGTGACAATAAAATGCTAATTGAGTGTCTTTTTTCAGCTGAGGTCAGGGAGAATTTAAAAAAAAAAAGTCTATGTCTTTGTTGTCAGCTCTTCTTCTCTGCTTTCATCCTAAAACCAGACAAAAAGACTGTACAGAGGGGTTTTTTCTAGTCATTTAAAAGCATCAGTCAATGCTGAAATGACAAAAGTTAGTTACTGTGTTTTCAGAAGTGGATCTATGACCTTTAAAATGAAAGATTTTTGATGAATATTTTAGGTCAAGTTTTATGTTTTTCGTTTCGATTAGAATAATTTAAGAAATATATAAAAATATAATAAAGTAATAGTAATACACTGCCATGTATTACAGTGATTTTCTGAAGGAAAACACTTGAATTTTTTTTTTTAAATGACATACGCCAGTTACAAGACTGTTATTAGAAAACACGTGTTTGCAGTTTAGACAATAATAAAACAGTATGAAACCATGCAATTATTTTTGAGGAGTTTCTGTGTGAATGTGCATCAATACCTGGAGCAGATAATGGCGATTGCTACCAGTGAGACGATGCAGACTCCGCCCACTAAAGATCCTGCAATCAGAGACAGCTGCTGCCCCAGCTCTGACTTGTACTCATCTGCACGGACACAGAAGTCAGACGTCAGTCGACCAGACCAATGTTTCAACTTGATATTAAATTTAGGGTTAAATTTGAAGATGATGTAAAAAAAACTGGCTCATACACTCACACTCACCATCAGTCAGCGTTTGGAAGAGCATCTCCCTGCTGTAGACGCCGTAGCCGGCCACGGTTCGGGCCCTGACCTGGACTGCGTAACCGGTACCAGGCCGGAGTCCCTCCAGAACCACGTTAGGCGTCTCGGTCTGAACCACCGAGCTGTTCAGGACAGTTGACAGGGACTGCAGGGAAATAACAGCGACAGATCGTAAAGTTTCACAGCTACCACGGAACAATAAAGTGTGTCCTGCCTCCCAGAGTGACGGAGACTAAATCCACTACTTTCCTGTGTTTGTCAGTGGAGGAGGAAAAATCGATTCTGCAAAACTTCAGGCACAAACTGAGACATTTAACATCGTCCAACCCGACAGTCGTACTGACTGGTCAGAGTGTTGTTTTAATTCCACCCTAGAACGTTCTTCACCCCACGTCTGTATCTGTAACTTGTCTGATTTAATCACCAGACACCAGAAAAAAAGGACATTTTCAAAACATCTACATTTTCAGTGTCAGGAAGATGAATGCACTTTTTCAAGTTTTTTTTTTTATATCCTAGACTGAACCAGAGACATTTTCTCCGACAGCTTCAACACAAACACGTCTGTGAAAAATCAGTGTGGAAAACATTCAGCTGCAGTTTGTCACTTTCAGCCTGTTCTGAGCGAAGCCGTCAGAGGTTAAGATGAACAGTCGTGTTGATGTGTCATGTCAGCTGTCACTAATTGAACTCGCTGTTTGTGGAAGACACACCGACGTACAGTGACGGCCGTGAGTGTTGTGTCGATTCCCCTCCTAATTTTTCTGTCATCTTTAAATCCATTAAAAAGTAATTTTCTCACTCGTTACTTTTTTTTTTTTTACAAAGCCAGTCGTCCTCACTGTTATGGCGTCTCCACGAACTCATTTCTATATAAATGATTCTACTCATCTATTGTTCAGACCAAGCCTTTAATAAACCCTCCTTTTAAAACCAATCTTTTTTCTCCCCCACTGAGGCGTCTCCCGTGTTGTTGTCATCATTTTCCTCCGTCATCGCCTTTTAATCTTTTACTAAAACTGATTCCAGTGACTTGAAATACATTTATAAAATGGTTTAAAATCCTTTACAGAGACAGGGTTTGTAGGTTCCAGTCATTGATGAATTTTCTCTCTGATTCAAAAACATAAATCAGGCCTTTGTTCATTTTTTATATTATCTTTTCCTTTTGTCATTTTTTTCTCCCCCTTTTCTTCATCTTTTTCATTCATTACCAGTTTCTAGGCAAATCTGATTAAGTGACAGGACGGTTAATTAGCTGTGGTCCACAGAGACAGGCCAACTGGAACATTTGGTACCCCCCCCCCTCTCCCCCCCACTGTCCTGCCCCTGAGGTGGATTAACCATCACCTCTATCAGCACTATCTCATAAAGCACAGGCTACAACCTTTTACCTCTATCTACCCCTGCCCTCCTCCGGTGCCTCCTGTCACCATTTTCTTCTAGATAAAAAGAGAATTTTTTTTTCTGCAGCAAAATGAGAAAAAAAAAGCCCAAAGAGAGAAGACAGATATGGTGCGATGAAGGTATGAAAGGTGGGAGGCGTGAATAAGGCCGCGAGGATGAATGAGATGTAGGAGGTGGAGGAACAGAGGAGAGCGGAGAGGAAAGGAGAGAGAGGGAAGGTGATGAAAAATGGAGGTTAGAATAAAAGAGATATTAAATTCTTCTTCACCTACGACCAGATGTGTTCGTTTTATTGTAACAATGAAACAGCCTTCCGACCTTTAACCTTTACAATCGATTACTTTGGCCAACTTGATGTCATATCTTTTATTTTTCGTGCCATCGCTGGGTTTTTTTTCCCCTAAAAAAGCCACATATTTTTATAGGATCACATTCAACAGCACTGCAGTACTTCAAATACTGGCAGTATCTTCACTGATCTCTGGTTTTTGTATCTGCCCATCACAGAAATAAAACGGGGACTTATGTCAACCAATTCTACAAATCAAGAGTTTGAAAAATGCTCAAATGAGGCTTATGATCCTGTCATTCTTGCCAAGCCACATATTACCTAATAAAAGAGGCCTTGCTAAGTTCCAAAGTTTTTTTTCTCTTAAATAAATTATGAATTATTTGAATTGGCTGGCTGTTTCGGGATAATGAGTCTGGACCCTCGGAGGTTCACAAAAGAATTCTAGAAAATACGATGTATTTCCATACCTTCCATATCCCTGTACAAATGGTCCAACTTTGTGCTTGGAATTCCTAAGAATTCCTAAAACTAAGGGCATGTGGAGCACAACATTCACAGTAAGAGAAAACGTCACACATGGACCAGACCAAAGTTCAGGTGGAGGCGTGGGTGACAAAGTCAATTCCAAATTTTTGTCAACACTCCAGGAGGAGCCCCGGAGATAAATCCATCCACGACTGTTTTAAACCATCAGTTTGACGTGTAGAAAGCTCTGTAAAAGTTTCGGGCTGCATTCCCAGCCTGCCTACCTTGGTGTTTTTAAACATAAAAATATGACGGTACTTACTTGTGGTAGCAGCAGAGGTAGGAAACTGTTATAAACTGTGGAACTCAGCAAGGGCTCCTTTATTATGGAATATATGGCTTGACAGGATTGACTGGAGTATAAGCCTCATTTGAGTATTTTTCACACTCTTGAATTATAGAATTGGTTATGATATAAGCCCCCGTTTTATTTCTGTGAAATACTCTAAGAGGTGTCATTGTTTTATGTGAAACACTACAATTATTTAGCTTTTCGAAGCCTTTAGGGCGACAGAAACTGCTGATAATTTAGTACTCTAAACCCTCAAGGAACCCACTAATCCCAGCGGGAATAACAAGGACAAAGTATTTGGCTGACTGCAGAGTCACCCATTGTCAGACAGTGGGTGAAAATAAGGTTAAAATACAGTTATATTTGGAAATGGCAACTGAAGTCAGGGTTGGATTTGTCAAAGCTGAGGGTTGGCTCTGGAATGCCACAGTGGAGAGGTTAGAGGACGGTCCGTCCGGGAGGGTCTGGAAGCCCGAGATAAGTAGTGGGGGGCGGGGTTCCTTACTGTGTCATATCAAATTTAATACATTAAAACCTTATTATCTGTAGAGTGGCTTCGACGGGAGAGGAAAATAAGGGAGGGATGGAGGAGAAAATGAAGCAAAAGGAGGTGGAGAAATAGATAACGCCAGCTGAGGAGGTGCAGTGCTGGTGACTGCTAAGGCTTATCAAACTGCCCTCCGGGGGGCTCCCATGCTCGAAGCTAAGAGCTAAATTTAGCCACTTTATATAGTTGGGTTGTCTATGGTGTAAAATATGGAGTGTCTCTCGTCGGATTGTGTGTTTATCAACGAGGAAGATAAAAAAATAAAAAAGAAACAATAAAAGAGGAAAGCAGCAGCTTCAGAGTCTTAATTAGCTTCTGTGTTGAATAAAAACAAATGGAATGCAGCGGTGAACATGGCCGGAAAATGGCTCGGAGTAAAGTTGCCGCTGCCACCGTCACACTGCAGCTACGCTACAACCCCCTGCGAGCGCGCTGCTTCTCGCCGTGTCCTCGACTGTCTCTAATTGCTCTCTGAGAGCCCAGGTTTGGTCTGCTCTCTGTGGGACATATCAGTTCCTAAAAAAAAAAAAAAAATCTAGGGGAAATATGGAGTCTTCCTCCGGTGCCCACCACTGACCAACCCTCTGGACGCAGGAACGCCGTCTCAGGAGGAACAGATTATTCTCCTGCTGCGTTACATCACAACCATCTGTGGCCTTATTTTTGAGTTTCTGGCGGAGGGGAGCGACTACAGTGTGATGAATGGTCTTAGTCAGACAGTTTGTTCCACCGGCATCTCATCAGTCCAACTACAGCAGCTGTTAATTTAGGAGGAGGAAGACGACAGGACAAAGGATTAGCTGTCAGTAAAAAGTAAACAGGTCAATTTGTGCACTGGAAAACTGGAATGGTGATTCTTTCTGGGACCCCATGAACGGCAGTCTGATCTGTGGGCCAGTCTATCAGGAGTCATTTTTCATTTTTTTTATTTGCTTTAAATATTATAATAATAATATAAAAAACTGACTTAAAAACTTAAAATCCACCAACTCTAGTTTAACGTTGTCATATTTATCTTTTAGTCACAATTAAAAATTGAATTTTGATCTGAAAAATTTGACCATGATTAAATCAATTATTACCTTGCACGAGAGTTAGCTGGCCGTAAAATAAATTTAGCCCAAGTATTTTCACTATAAAAAAGGTAGGAGAAAGAGGTCAGAGGGGTCGTCAGTATTGGATCAGTTCTTGTTCTCAGTATGTGTAAAATGTGTAAAAAAAAGGAAATGTTGCAAAAACAAATCTGTGTTTTTCCACCAACGATCTCTACTACTCATCTTGATTTTTGTCTAAAGTCCGACTGCAGTAAAATCTTTGTTTTGTTCACAGTCTTTGACTCAACGTCAGGGTTCATAAGACTAGCCTACAGTTGCTCTGAAGTGAAGTCTTCCCTTGTAATCTAACGTCCACTTCCATTCAAAATGCAACCGCCTCCCACCAATGGAATCACATGAGCTTTTCTCCTATGCAGTTCCCGGAGCCACTCTTTTCTGAGTCTTTCTTCTTCGAAAGCAATCATGTTTTTTTTAGGGTTTCACCCCCTCGATCAGAAGTTCTCCTTCTGGCTCCAGGATTACAGTTCTTTGATCACTGAGCTCTGGTAGTGATTCCTACCTTTGTCTCCTGCTTCATGCAGCTTTAAGACCGTGTTTCCATGACGGAGACGCCGGAGGCTTCAATGCAGCATCCTCAAAAAGCACAGACGTCGGTGAGAACAGCATGTTCTCGCAGATATTGAAAATTAGAGATGAGGTCTGCTTTATTTCATTCTCTCACAGTTACAAAGAGCAACGTGGAGAGTACGACAATCAAAGAGTTGGTTGAAAGTTAGACCTCCCCCCACCCCCCGCCCCCCATCTTCATACATTCAGCATATATCCATATGAATGGATGGCTGTATGAATGATTTCCTGTATGTTTTCTGAGCTGCTGAGTCGGCCTCTCTGTCATTCATGGATGAAGACAGTTTTACAGAACCAGCAGTTTGTGCTGACTTTGTCACAAACACAGGTCTACGGAGAAACTAGAAACCCAGCAGTAGAAACTACTTTAGCTTGTTCCCCTACAGAAAAAAAAAACATTTATATGGAACACTGCAGCATTCTCTTAGGTCTCCACCCAAACAATTCATAAAGAATTTGTTTGGTCAATACATAAGGAGAAAAAAAAGCCAATCTACAGTGGTTTTGTTTTCATTATATTATAGGGAACTGTTTAAACTCAAGTCAAATATATTTTATTTTTGTAGCACAAATTTACAAAACAAAATTTACAAAGAAAAATTTTCTGAAAAAAAAAAAAAAAAAGAAAAATTTTCTGAAAAAAAGAAAAAAGATTTATAGGTCACTATCATATTGAGCTTATTTTAAACAATACGAAATTGAGCAAGAAGCAGATAAATATATATATTATTCTGGGGCTTCACCACTAGGTAGAGAATATGACAAATATTTCCAATGCGTAAAAGCAATTGATTTTTTTGGAACTATTGGACTAAATAAATGAGAAAAATGTTTTATGCAGAAAAATAATATCATTAGTCGGAAACATAGTCTGTATTTGGCAGGTTAAGGGTTAATCAGAGCTGCTGTTATTGATCAGACACTGGTGAAATGATTGCGCATTTCTGGCTCTGATTTCTGTCATCACTGTAATCAAAATTTTAATTTTCTTCTCCGGTGCGGCGTTAATAAATGTCAAGAGTGCAATGAGTTCCCCTCCTGTAATTTCTGTTCATAATGTCAAAAATGATTTCCCATTCTTCCGGGTCTCATGTTTTTTAATTAGTGTTTCAAAACATA